TCAGCAGGTCTTTTTGTTGGTCACACCTTCTCTGTTGCAATGGCCATTGGTGAGGAGGAGGATGAGCTTCTGTTGTGGATTTTCAGGTGTTTTCTTTGGGGGAACTGCAGAATGAGTGTTAGATTTGTCGCTTCTCACCTGCTGTTGTGAAGATGGTTTTGTGGGAATTCAGGCTGCGTTGGATGCCCTGTTATGCTCACCCCTAAGGTTTTTGATCCTTCCTAGGAGCCAGCACCACTCTTTGACCTTGCCATGCTTGCCTTAGATAGTCCTGAGAGTGGCTGGACAGAGGAAGATGGTCCCAAAGAAGGACTTGCCGAATACATTGTTGAGTTTCTGAAAAAGAAGGCTGAGATGCTTGCAGACTACTTCTCTTTGGAGATTGATGAGGTGGGCGACGGTCATTTTTATACCTCCATTGTATTCTTCAGGTAAGAGTCAAGTTCTGTAGTTGGTCCAGGATCAGGACAAGAAGGCTGGGCCCCCTCTCTGAAGCAGCCTGTGACCTCTGTGACATCTTCACTCCCTATTTGTGTTTCTAGGTTCCACAACTTTTATCATCCATTCGTGCCCATTCCTGTCCCCAGGGTGCAGGACCCAGGCAGGAGGGAGAGCTGAATCCCACTGTCCCTGCAGGCCCCAGTGAAGGAAATGATGCTTTGCCACTTGCTCTCCTAAGAGGTTTCTTCCTCTTACCCCTTGATTTCTGGGGCTTTCCTTGATGTGTTCTTTGGTTGGTGAGCAGATCCAAAGAGAAGGTGGCTCTGCTACATGTCAGGACAGAAAGCGCTAAGTGCTTAGTTCTGCTGCTCCCAGTGCCCAGCCTGGTCAAGCACCTGGTTGCCCAGAACGGCTGGTCTGAGGACAAGACCTGGAGGAAGCACCAGGGAGAATTTGTTTAAACTGTAACGGCGTGATTTCTTATCCCCTGTCCTGGCCTTTTTCCACAAGCAGGAAGGGAACCTGGTTGGATTACCCCTTCTGATCGACAACTACGTGCCCCCCTTGGAGGGTCTGCCTATCTTCATTCTCCGACTGGCCACTGAGGCAAGTGATGGAGCCAATCCTGATGACAGTCCTGTGGGTGTGTGAGTGTGTGTGTGTGTGTGTGTGTGTGGGAGGGCACATGGCCCTGCTGTTGTAATGATGAAGAGGAAAAGGGTAGCATGGCTAAGGTCCCTCTCATCCCTGCCCACCCACAGCAATACTCAGTAGTTCCAACTTACAGCTTTAATGCCTAAAAAGTCACGTTTAGTTTTTAAGTTGTCTGTTATCTCCATTTAGAAATGAAATGTGTTTAAAGCACGTACCTATGTTGAGGTATTGAATTCTCTCTTTGGAGCAGGTGAACTGGGATGACGAAAAGGAATGTTTTGAAAGCCTTGGTAAAGAATGTGCGATGTTTTACTCCATCCGGAAGCAGTATGTGTCTGAGGAGTCGACCCTCTCAGGCCAGCAGGTATGAGGGTGCGCACTGGTGCCCGGGACTGGGGGCACAATCTTGCCCTCTCTAAGTTCCTAGGATCCGCTGCATATAAGCTTCAAACACAGTGGTCAGCTCTTACGAGTTTTATTTCCTTCTGAAATATAGAAGGTGCCTCCAGAGTGACCTCACCGTCAGATGTACAAACACAAGCCATCGCAGTGAGAAATGGGAAGTTTCAGGGCTAGTGGGTGGACTGTATCTCCCATTGTGAGCCCGGAAGTGTGTAGCCTTAGCCTTCAGGTTCTGGGTCAGTCTCCCCAGTCTCTTTCGGCTTGTGCCTCACTCTGCCTCTGACCACTGCTGTGCCAGGGGGACACGGCTGTACTTGGGTCAGGGCCCCAGCTCTTACGGAAGGTCAGCCTGGGTTCTTCATGTTTCTGTGTCAGATGACAGTGCTCTTTCAATCCACAACTATTTTGGAGGGTTTGGCTGGGTGGGGGAGAGGGGACTGAAATACAGGAGTACCTCAGAAATTTTATTGGTTCCGTTTCAGACCACTGCAGTAAAGCTAGTTGCGCAAATTTTTTTGTTTCCCAGTGCATATAAAAGTTATGTTTATACTGTATACTGTAGTCTGTTAAGTGTACAGTATATAGCACTGTCTCTAAAAAGCCAGTGTATATACCTAAATTTAAAAATGCTGTTAGAAAAATGGAGCCAGTAGGCTTGCTCAATGCAGGGTTGCCACAAACATTCAATTTGTGTTTAAAAAGAAAAGAAAAAAAACCGCAACAGTCTGCAAAGTGCAGTAAACTGAGGCCTGCCTGCAGTGTAAGAATGGAAGGGTGGGTACTTGATACACGTAACGGGCTCGGTGATTGCTCCTAGTCCTCCTCTGAGATGACATGCTGTTGCTCCAGCTTCATGGGTGAGGAAGCTAAGGGACAGTTTCAGCGGGTGCTCAAGGGTTCCCAGAGCCTGTGGGTGGTGGAGCGGAGATCCAGTCCCAGGTCGTGTTGGCCAGAGGCCCTGGAACCATCTCATTCCAATGGAGGCGGCAAGATAGCACACTTACCAAACTGTGCTGAGAGTATCCCGTATGACTGGAAACACTGACTTCCAGGTGAGGAAGGATGGATGGGAAAGAACATCTTCTTTTACATGAGGCAGCCTAAGGCTTAGATGTAGGAGCGGAAGGGTGGAGTAAAATAATCCTCATTTATTTTTTCATTTCTTACCTGTGGAGCTTTTTGGGAAATAGAACGACATTGAGACTCCAAATTTAGTGGTAATTACGGAATGTACTTCCTACTACTGCCATCCAAACATTATGTTAGATCCTGCTACAGTAAACACACTCTCCCTGAATGGTAACAGTTTCCATGGGAGGAAGCGTCACAAAAGCCACGACTGATTCTTTTCTTCCATCTCATCTCTCTGCTCAGGCCTGTAGGATCCTTGAGAGGCTGGCCTAGAAAAGATACTTCACAAGCATTAGGTCACACAGTCCATTATAAGCCACCAAGACTCTCCAGGCCCAGTGCACATCAGCCAGGAAACCAGCATAGACTGGGATGTGAACATCTAACATGTCTCTTTCAGAGTGAAGTGCCCAGCTCTACTCCAAACCCCTGGAAGTGGACTGTGGAGCATGTTGTCTATAAAGCCTTCCGCTCACACCTTCTGCCTCCGAAACATTTCACAGAAGATGGAAACATCCTGCAGCTTGCTAACCTGCCCGATCTATATAAAGTCTTCGAGAGGTGTTAACTATGGTCGTCTATGGCCTCTGGGATGGGTCGTTCTTCCTCTGTATCCCGACATTGGTAGGTTGAACTCACACTTGCATTTTAACTAGTAGCACTCCTTCATGCATGGTGGATTGACTATAAATAAAGTCCAATTTGTCCTAACATGGTTTTTTATTTAATTTCATTACACTTGAAATTTTCCTAGATCCATTTTCACCTAGTGTATACTGATTGTGTTGAAGAATCCCAAAAGTAGTTTGAAAGCCTCCTGGACGTCTGATAAGAATTCTAAAAGGGCCTTAAAGACTTTATAGATCATGCATTGATTCGATTCTGTGTTCTGGTGAATTTCTAATATCAGGTGATAAATATTATGTTGGTTCAGGTGCCTTTTTAAAAAAGAGGTCCTGAACCTATAAGAGGGGCTGATGACATTGTCAATTCAGCTTTCTGTGTAGTCACTCTATTAGTACCTTCAGTAACCAAAGCTAATTAATTTATTCTTAATTAATTTTAAAATTTGAAGAAAATAGTTCTTATCCAGTCCAAAATAGGCATGAGTTTTTAAGTTAGCTCACTTTGTTAATGGCTATCAATACTACCAGCTTAAGATAAAGGAATTTCTAGGTATTCTTGTTTGAAGGGTGTTGTAAAAATACAAACTGAAACTGTTAAGTACCATTAAAATAAGCTACCTTAATATTAGCCTGCATTAATAGAAATGTGCAGTCAGCACAGGGAGGAAGAATGCCTATAGTTTTGAGGTAAAGTCCAGATTACAAGGCTCAGTGAAGAAAGTTCTGTGGAAAAGAAGAGAAGAGTCTATTTTACGAGAAGTGGAACCATTCCATTTGGAAAAGACTGGGACAACAAAACAGCTCCAGGAGGAGCACAGGCTGAGTGACCGTGGGTGGAGAGGAAGAGGGATTTCCAAGGCCTCAAGAGGTGGACTACACGATGTTTCAGTTCCAGGTATGTATGGGATTCTAGGATAAATCTGCATTTCAGAACATGCCTCGTCACTGCCCACTCCCACACATCAACTGAAAGAAAACTTATAGGAAATCATCTCAAAATATGGAAACCAATTTCCTGAATTATTTTATTTTTTAAAATTTATTTTTGGCTGTGTTGGGTCTAACGTTGCTGCTTGTGGGCTTTCGCTAGTTGCAGCGAGCGGGGGCTACTCTTCGTTGTGGTGCGGGGGCTTCTCCTTGCGGTGGCTTCTCTTGTTGCGGAGCATGGGCTCTAGGTGCGTGGGCTTCAGTAGTTCTGGTGCATGGGCTTAGGTGCTCTGCGGTATGTGGGATCTTCCTGGACCAGGGCTCGAACCCGTGTCCCCTGCATTGGCAGGTGGATTCTTAAGCACTGCACCACCAGGGAAGCCCCTGGTTTCCATGTTTTAAACACAAAGAGCTAATTATTCTAAAGAAGGGAATAATTATTAGAGATTTTATTCATATTTAAGTTAACTTTATTACCTAGTTTCAAGTCTAATTTTATCTTATGTGGCCTTAATTCATTAGACTTTCCCCCATATTTTTTCCGTGTAAACACACTGAAGATACAATAATCATTTCCATAAAACCACCTCAATTCTGAGAGCAAAAGAGAATCACAAATACTGTAACATGGCTACGACTCGATGATAAAATCCTCTTAAACTGGGTGCCTTTAAGATGAAACTGAAGTTCTTAAAAGAAATCCTATATTCCAGATTATTTTTCCTTAAGGAGAGAAAAGAGGGGTGAGCTAGGCGGGCATGATTGCCAATGACTAGTTTTAAAGGCTCCTCTAAGAAAATGAATGTGTCAGTAGCCAACTGTAGTCAGCAAAAGGGTGTATTTAATAGAGTCTTCAGGCCGACTTCCCACCTGCCTGGCCTGGCCTGCCCTCCCTCCCTCATCGGGCTGGTCTGAGGTTTCATTCCACAGATGAGCAGCAGATGAAATACTTTTCAAGATACAGCACAGTTGATGTGAAGACTAAGGACCCTACTCTTACTTTAAGAGTACAGGCCTTGGACTTCCCCTGCCCCATGCAATAAAGCAAGTTTTATATACACTCCCCGTATCTTTTTCTAACATTTTCTTATATAAATTTAAATACCTTACAAAAAAAGGCTTTTTCCTCCAAACATATAAATTTGAGTGAAACATATATTCCCCACCTGTGAACTTGTTTCTTCACTAAAATATAAATGCTACCTGATATTAAGGGTAAATGTCTTTTGACCACTGGAGATCACTGAAGTCTGAATTGCACTGTGGAGAAGGCACTTGTGTTTTCTGAGGTTTCCAGGAAGTACCTCGGTGAGCGCTGAATCGCTGTCCTCCAGAACCCGTGCCAAAGCCTCCGAGTGCCCAGTCACTGAGGCAGCTGGGGAAAAATGGTGAGTAAACTTGATTCTAAAATTATGGAAATAAAAAATAATAACGGCATGGACCAATTCTTAGTCTAGAATCAAACTACCAACAAAATCCAAAGTGTTCATTCATGAAGATTCAAACCTGTTTCATTCTCTCATAAATTATAAAATACAAAGGTGGCTATCTTAATGACAAAGCTCAAACAGTCCTGAAAGGGGTTTGAGTGGACGAAAGATCAGTCCTTCCAGGCGGGGCCCAGGCAGCAGGGCGGCCTCCCTATTGCTGGGCCAGCAGTGCTGTCCTGTTGGCCTTCATCTTCTCCAGCCGCTTGGCCAGATGGCTGTTGGTCATCTCCATCTCCTCGATCTTGTCCAGTGCTGTTCGTAACTGGAGACAGGAAGAGCTTGGTCACTTCACATGGTCAAAAACAAAACCCAGCGCTACTTTCCTCTCCAGTTTCTGGGGAGTGGAAGCACTGCATGCGATCCTGCAGTTGCACTGTTTTTCAGGCAGCCAGAGTTGTTAACCAACGGTGCTGAACATTAATCACAGAGAGGACATAGAGAAGCTGGAGAAACAGACCTCATCTAAAACAAAAATAAAAACTCTCCTTTTTCTTATTATCTAACTGACCAAAACATAAAAGTAAATGGCAGTCACTGTGTAGGTCAGAAACCAACACAGAACAGTGATTCCACTGCTGTTTCACTAAGATTGGAGCCAGGATTAAATTCCTTATGCAGCAAAGAATTTATCTCCAAAGGATTTTTTCTTTTTAGGAAAGTATTCCAAGAAGCATAATAAAAGCAAGTACCTCTCGTTGTAGCTTCCTCTTTTCTGCTTTCAGTTCATCCTCGACTTTCTCCGCATTCTCAGCAGCGGTTTTATATCTCAGCACCTGCCCCTCCAGGCGGCTGATCTGTAAATATGAGAACACAGGCCTCTGGTGCTGGCACTAGGAACCACCACTTTTTTGCAGCCAAGATGGAAATACAATGTCATGACAGATTCCAAGAATCTAATACTAACAAGTCCCTTCAGGGGGAGTTAGAGGTCCTCTCAGAACTCGACTGCTATTTATACATCTAGAACTGTCCCTAGAGAGGATGACAGCTGTAGAGTCATTATAGGGCCAATTTCCCATGTTAAGTTTTACGACAACCATATTGTTTAAAAGCCATAGTAACGTCGCAGGAGGAGACTCCCCGAGAGACTTTCTGAAATATACAATAAGGGATTATGTTATAAACTACAATCTTCTTGAAGGCTCTTGAAATAGCTACAAGAAACAGAATTATAGCTTCAGTCTCATTCATTCATAGAAAAGGCTGAAATGCCCTATCAGGTGTCCTCTGCTGGCTTTTCCACTTTAGAGCTTTTATAGAGATTCAACTGCAAAGGCAGCTTAAAAAACCTAGGCGTTCATGGGGTTAACCACTGAGATGCAGGAAGCAGATGTGTTGGTACCGTACACAAGAAGGACTTACACTTTGCTCCAAGGTGGTTATATCCTGTTCTGCTTTTGAAAGCTTAAACTTGTACTCACTAATTTGTCTGTTGGCATCTCCTAGAACAGAAGAGAATAATAAACCATCTCACAGAGGTGAAGGTGTGAACGTGAGGCAGTGAGGCCCCCTGCAGCACAGGAGAGGACCGTGCAGAGGAAGAAGACAAAGCACACATGCACACAGGCAACTGCGGTATCTCCTGCAGCACAGGTTCTGGCGCATCTATGCTATGAGAAGCTCTAGCACTTGTGTTGCAACAGCATTTTAGAAGAAAATTCTCTCTTCACGCCATGATGTGTGCAGGTAGAGGTTGAAGCAAGGAGCCCTGTCAGCGCAGCAGGGCCCCTGCCAACCTTACCTGCAGCCCCAGGGCCCAGGGAGCCTCTGTGCCCACGGGACCAGGCCCCCCACCCCCCGCTCCAGTTTTCCTGCCCCCAGCCCTACACCTTCCCATCTCCCCAGGTATCCTGCTCCCCACCACAGCCCAAGTGCCCTTTTCTCCCCACCTGTGATCTAGGTCTAACCAACCTTTAAGGTCCTGCTCAAGGTCCTGCTAAATTTTCACCTCCTTCATGACTCTCCTTAGTTAACTCGAGCTTCTCCTTCCTTTGTTGCATTTTTTTGGACTCTCTTTTATGACATCATGCTTTCCTAACATTATATAGATATGTAAGGATAGGGCCCTGTTTTGGCTTCTTGAATCTACCTCTGTTTCTAGCCAAGTGCTTTGCACGTAATGTACGCTTAATATTTACTGAAAATAAATGCTTTTCAGTAATATGTTGTGATAATGTGTTAAGGATAGAGCTATAAATCATTAGCTGTATATCTGACCTAAGAAGCAAACCATTTAAAATGAGAAGCTTAGAAATGCTGGGGGAGAAAAATTCCAGCAATCCAAATTTAACAAAAATCACTCTGAACTAATTACATTGTAATAGGAATCATAAGGTTTGCAGGAGATAAACCCAATCTACCCTACTTAAGAACTTTTCTACTTTTCCATAAAACTAAGGTTAAAACTACCCACATAATCTTTAATGCAAAAGGTTTTTCTAATTGGATAATTACTGTCACCCTAAAATTAATGTGGTTACAAAAGCCTCTCCCAAAAGCCATCTCTGGTAGCGAAAGAGAACTACTCCCATTTCTGGGCCTAAAACTGAAGCTTTAGGATACTGTTTTTTAATTCTTAACTCCAGCAACTTATTATCAAAATGTGCTGCTTCCTTCTCACCAAACCACTCATTCCTTCCTGTTTTCAAAAGTATAAATCCCTGGTCTCAGCCATTTATTTCACGCATGTTCTGAAATTCCATCCCCAAACACCATGCTTACAGACAAGGCAGCTGTCCAGAACTGAGAGTCACCAGGTTCCTGTCCCGGCCTCCGGTGCAGGGGAGCTGCCTGCTTCTGTCGCTACATGCCAGGCCCGGCCCAGCCCAGCCCTGCCCGGCCCTGCTCTGCTCACCTGGGTCACAGCCCCACCCCGGTCACTTGCCCTGCTTGCCACAGATGCCAGCTCTGTCGTGGTGCCTGCTCTGGGAAGATGTCACACATCAATGCATGCACACCCATTCCTCCTCAATATGATTCCTTTTGAATTTGCTGTTTTAGGTCAAACTCTTACAAATCTGTGCACTGCCCTCTCTCTAAGACTGTTGGCGGCCACTGGACTGTTTTGGTCACTATCACAACCTCCTAACTAGTCAACCTACCTTTCGTTATGCCCCTCTTTTCATCTACCCTCCACTCCAAATCGGTATTTCTAGAACAAAATATTTGAACTATATCACAAGGGTTCCAACTGATATCCAATAGAGGAAATGATACTAACCTCAAAAGTTAATGTTAGTTTTAATAAGCCTGGTTCAAAAACCTTGTCTATTTGGCCTAACTCAGAATATTTAGATAAAAGGGCCATGGAATAACCACTATTTTAAAATAAGTTATCAGAAAAGCCTTATTCAAATTGGAAAAATAGGTGTCTCCCCTGTGTGATTATACATTATCTAACTGTACATGAATGGCTGCTAAAATCTCCCCGCTGTGGGGATTACTGTGAATACCGTAGGCACTTTAAAATAATATGGGGGTCAAAAGTAGAAAGGCAGAACAACTGAAATAATTGGGGTAAACTGAGTAGGCTTACTTTGTGGCCTTGGTTTAAATTCCATCTAATAAAGATTAATTTGGGTTAACAAGACTACTTCTGGGAAAATTCTGAAACTACTCCGGAGTAGTGTGAGTTAGTTCCAAATATATTCCCCTCCAGTTATCTAAGATAAATTCCATAGAAAAACATGTCATTAGGAAGGGTGCTTACAGATGACCCGGGGATGTGGAAAAGGATAGTGTCATGATGTCACTATTTGCAAAATGTTCTAGAAATCACTTTGCCAGGAAGCGGGGAGAGCATTACCTCTCAGGCCTTGTCACCCCAGGAAGCACACAGCCTAGTAGAAACCTCTTCAGTTCCATGACTGACCAGGATGGCTTTTCTAGTCCAGCTGAGAACTAACCAGTCTTCAGAACCGCAGGCTCTAACAGCCTGCTCACAACCACGTCCGGGACACAGCCCCACGCGGGTCAGTGGCGGCCCGGCCCCAGCCTTACTCTGCATTTCGATGAGCTGCAGGTCTGAGCCATTCTGCAGTCCCGCCAGGTCACCTGCTGTGCCATCGCTCCTGGAGCACTTTTGCTGTTCCTCCTCCAACTGCAGCTTCAGTTTTCTAATCTGAAGAGGAAGTAAAGGCTTATGCGTGAGATCCAGTCTCTCAAATGAAACAGGTGCTTGGCCTGGTGTCCACATCTTAGAATAAGGCCACAAATCATTCATTCAGAAACTGTTTCCTGGAGTGTCTGCCATGGGGCACGCTGTGCTCAGGTGCTGGAGATCAGCTACGAACTAATTATCAAAAGGAGCAAGCTCCAGGACCAGGTGTCCCAGTTAAAACAGCCATATTTTATTATTTGTGTAGTTCTGTGGAAAAGTACATCTTAGGAGTTTCTTTTTGTTATTTTTTATTAAAAATGGAAAATTCATGGGCAGTTAGAGGTTTCTTGTTTAGAGTTAGGTTAAGTATTCTTATTTAGAAAAACTGTATACAGAAATAATTGGAAATATATTTTTGAGTTCAGCTACATAATCTACCTTATTTTACCCAAAATAAAGGCCATTCATAGCACCTTATTCATTAATAGCCCCAAACAAGAAACGTCCATCAAGAGAAGGATAAGTAAATTGCGGTCGATTTATACAATGGAATTACTACTCAGCCAAAGAAGGGAACGTACTACTAATACGTGCAGCAACAAGGTGAATCTCAAACTGAGTATATGCTGTGTGAAAAACTCCAGAAAATGCAAACTGAAGGGACAAAAAGCAGATCAGTGGTTGCCTGGAGAGAGGGAGGGAGGTGGGAGGGGAAGGAAGGTTTACAAAGGGACACAGGAACTTTGGCGAAGTTATGGATATTTTCACCATCTTGATTGTGGTGATGGTTTCACAGGTATTGCTGTGAGTTAAACTGTCCCCCCAAATTCGTATTTTGCAGTCCTAAGCCCCAGTACCTCAGAATGTGACCTTATTTGGAAACAGTCACGGCAGAGGCACTTAGTTGAGATGAAGTTACACTGGAATAGGGTGGGCCCCTAGTCCAATATGACTGGTGTCCTTATAAGAAGAATGCCACATGAAGAGACAGACAGGCACAGAGGGAAGATGTGCTAAGACACAGAATGTCATCTACAAGCCAAGGGACCCCAAAGATGGGCAGCAAAATGCCAGAAGCTAGAAGAGAGGCCTGTAACTGACTTCCCGTCACAGGCCTCAGAAGGAACCCACACTGCTGACACACAGCTTCTCACCTCCAGACTGTGAGGTGAGAGGACATTCTGTTATTCTGCGCCACCCGGTTTGTGGTGTTTTGTTATGGAAACTAATATAGGTATGTACATCTGTACACTTTATGTGCAGCTTACTTTATGCCAGTTATAACCTAATAAAGGTTTTTTTTTAATTTACAAAATAAACTAAAAGATAAAATTAGGAGGGACTTTGGGTTGGGAGAAAAGAAGGCCCAGGTGGAGACAAGAGTCTCACATGTGGAAAATAAGATTAGACGGACAGAAATGAACTGCATGCTGAGGCCTCTGGTCCACCCTCAGTTCCCAAACTGCACACCCAGCTAGGACTGTAGCTCAGGCACAGGACGGGATCTCTCTCTTTACAGGACGGGGATCTCTCTCTTTAGAACTCTCTGACTAGCCTAAAATAAAAGACCAACATAACCACATCTAAGGTTCCCAATAAGACACCCAGCCACATCAGGCTTCACAGAAACTTGGACGAGCCCTACCCACAAGCTCAGAGCTGCCCACCAGCTTTTTAGTCCTCTACTTTTAAACTGAAGACCAACTAAATGTACATAAAAGAACATCTGGAAGGAAACAAACTATGCAGATAGAAAAAAAGAATCAGGAAGCAAACCAACCAGCCTATCAATACCCTCTGAGATAAGTGAGAATAGCTGCATCCTTGAAATGACTGCAGGGACAGAAACTCAATAAAAATGAGAAGATAACGGTGAGAATATCTTTTAGAATGCAGAACAAATGAGACGAAAAGGGATGGAAAAACAGGAGAGAAACAGTATCTGTCCCGAGGTCTGATCGCCCTCGCCACCCCCAAATCAAATCGAGGTCGTGTTTCTCCAAATGCCTACAACTCTTATCATCAGAGATCCAGGAAGGAGCACAAATCAGAGCAAGTCTGCCCTCTCCTACAGCGGGCCACCTCCGGACCAAGACCAAGCGTCCCCACGCCTCCTGCGTCCTTCATCGTCAGGGGTCAAAGGTGAGTCTGCGTGCTCAGAGTTCCAGGTGGCTTCCCCAGCTGTCCTCGGCTCCATCCACAGGGGTCAAAGGGAAAGCTCAGCACTCGGACCAGGTCTGCCCCTCCCCTGATGGAGAAAGGGTGAGCTCGGCACTGGGACTAAATCTGTGCTTCCCAGACAACTCTGCCCTTTCAACCATGACACCACTATCTGCCTCGGTCAGCCGGGACTATCTCATCATCCCCATCATTCCTGTTCAATGTCCATCTCGAAAAGGCTTGTCGTCCCTTTTCCTGCACTCCTTCCCAAAAGGCCCGGTACAAGCCCTACTCTGTCTTCATCTCCTAACCTTTCCCAAAGCCTGACACTCTTGCACTGCACCCTCCGGACTATCCTCCACCCTCTCTGTGCATCCCCATTACCCCATCGGTGCTCTAATAGAGACCTGCCCTCCCCTGAGGGGCCTGCTTCCTCTGCAGCCTGGCTGTCCTTTCAGCCCACCTCTCACTGAGCCTGAGAATGGATCAGGTGTCTTCTTGCGTTCCTTGCTGTTACAAACTCTTCTCCCTCTAGCCTCCCTGAATTCCTAATGCAGTTCCTAATCGCATCGCTTCAGATTGTAAGTACTAACCCCACCTCATCATTGCCATCTCCCCACTCTTTCGTCACCATTTTAGCTCCTAACTCACATGATCTCCAGGCTACTCCTGCCTTAATTGTTGGCAAATTCAAAATACATCTAAGTGTGATCTCTCCTATATCGGATCTCTAGTTTCTGGAGCAAGGATCTTGCCACGTATCCCACCTTGCCCTCAGCCTCTCACTCCCACCGTCATATACTAGATCTCACCACTAGACAACAGCAGTCCCTACTGAATTCAGTTCCATGTATCTTCTCTCTAACCACTACTCTTGATCTTTCCAGCTCATTCCCTCTGGACCCAACTCCAAAAATCCTTCAACCCCACTGGCACCTATAGTCCACTGTTTCCATCTTCTCTCTGCTGTGCCTTGATATCTTCCTGGATTTCCCTCAAACCTCCTTACCCAGTTTAATCTCCAGGTCCGTCGTCATCACTCTCTCGCACAAGCCCTCACCTCCTCTGCCCTATTATGCTCACCTGGTAAAATCTCTCTACCCACTCCATGCCTATATCTATGCAGCTACATGTGCCTGGAGAAGCACACACAATAAATGCATTCACGCAAACCTCCAAACCACATCACTGAAATCTGAGAACCCTAGGGAGAAAGGAGAGTATGATACAAGCTGCCAGAGAGGGAAAAACGGGTCATAGACAAAAGATCAAAAATCAAAATGTCCTTGAAATTCTCAATAGCTGTGCAGGAGGTCAGAAGACAACGAAGCAATTTATTAAAAAAAAAAAAAAAGTTCTGAAGAACCTAGGGCCAGGATAAGAATAAAGATGCAGATGTAGAGAATGGACTTGAGGACATGGGGAGGGGGAAGGGTAAGCTGGGACAAAGTGAGAGAGTGGCATGGACATATATACACTACCAAATGTAAAACAGATAGCTAGTGGGAAGCAGCCACATAGCACAGGGAGATCAGCTCGGTGCTTTGTGACCACCTAGAGGGGTGGAATAGGGAGGGTGGGAGGGAGACACAAGAGGGAGGGGATATGGGGACATATGTATATGTATAGCTGATTCACTTTGTTATAAAGCAGAAACTAACACACCACTGTAAAGCAATTATACTTCAATAAAGAAGTTAAAAAAAAAAGAATGAAAATGATTACAATGAGGAATTCTATACCCCCATCAAACTGTTAATCAAGTAAGAGGACAAAATGAAGACATTTCAGTCCTGTAAAGTTAAGAAAAATTTACAGCCCCAAAACTCTTTCCTCAGGAAGCTACTGGGGGATGTACCAGAATAAGAGAATGGACACAGAAGGAGGGAGGCATAAGATGCTGCTCCAGCCTGGAGCACAGGCAAAGGAAACTCTAGATGATGATGAAAGGTGGTCACGTCTCTGTCCCGGGGGAGCGAGCCTCTAAGTTCACAAGGGGTGAGTCAGATGCACCAAGAACCAAAAGAGATGGAACTGAGGGAATACCTGATGCATCTGAAAACATGCATCTGAAAACACCAAGAGTGGACTGAATTAGTAACAAATACATAGGAAACCAAGCAAATGACAAGAAAAACCAAATACTAACTTCAGGCGAACTAAGGAGTTGTGAAGGAGATGAATCCTAGAATGTTCCATGGCTCCACTGTGAGCAGTGTTTACAGAGTCCTGATAACGTAAACAGACTGGAATCTCACTGCTCCTTTATTAGGAGGATGTGGGAATGGAAAGTATACATGCGTGTGGTAGGGAGAGGGGATGAAGGAAAGATAAATCCTCACGTCCCATAGAGGGATGTCAACAGAGCAGCCTTAAACAGAACAATCAAGAAGCAACATAAGCATGTTATATAGAAGCATACAAGGGCGGTACACACCACAAGAATCAGCTAAAGGAAGCAAAAGGGATGGTCGGGGCTGGAGGTGGGGAGAGGGCAGGGCAGGGCACTTCTGTCTTCAGAACAGGCTTTTAAAACTATTTGACTCCTTAAACTTCGTGTCCTTTAATTTTGTTTTTAAAGAACAGGAGACAACAAAGATGAATTATCTTTTTATCCTTCAACTCTTACTTGAGTAGTGATGTTTGAAACAAGCACATTTCTTTCTAGTGTACATTTTAGTTTGCTAACATTTTACCATATGATTTAGTCAGTTACAATTAATATCCCCTTCCAATGAGAAGAATACCTTTACCTGTGATAGTAGTTCTTCCTTTTCTCCAGCAAGTTTTCGTAGCCTTACATCTAAAACAAATGAAAAATTTGTAATGTTGTAGTACATAAACAATTTAAAATAATTCTTCAAATTCACAAACAGCAAACATCTGATAAACAGTTCATAGCTCTGAATATCAAGACATGAAGGCTTTAATGGTGAAAGGAAAAGTACTTAATTATTCAACACAGATTTCCACACAACTGATATTTATCAGGGCACTAAATACAACATTTGCTCCCAAGAGCAGTGATTTTCCATCTGAAGACAAAATGAAGTACAAAGATCATTTCCTTGTTTCAAAAATTTGCAAGTTTTACCAGTAGATAGACAACTCAAAGCCAAGGGTACTCCCACAGGCTCTTAAGCCCTTAGCAGGAGAAAACTACGGGAGAGAAGGCAGGGGCTAAGAATGGGCCTGAGAGGGGTGCTAGAGCAAAGAAAACAGAGGAACACAATGATGGAAGAAGCAAAGGCCCACAAAGCTAGTTGGGGGAGGGAAGGGGACCAACTCTAAGATGTGTGCCGTCAAGAGCCATCTGAGGGGCTTCCCTGGTGGCGCAGACGCCTGCTAATGCGGGGGACATGGGTTCGAGCCCTGGTCTGGGAGGATACCACATGCCGCGGAGCAACTAGGCCCGTGCGCCACAACTACTGAGCCGGCGCGTCTGGAGCCTGTGCTCCGTGGTGGGAGGGGCCGCGATAGTGAGAGGCCCGCGCATCTCGATGAAGAGTGGCCCCCGCTTGCTGCAACTACAGAAAGCCCTCGCACAGAAACGAAGACCCAACACAGCAAAGATAAATTAACTAATTAATAAACTCCTACCCCCAACATCTTAAAAAGACAAACAAACAAACAAAAAACCCAAAAGAGCCATCTGAGGCTTGGTAGCAGGACTGCTAGGGCTTGCTCCTAGCCTGAGGGGAGGGCTGCTTCTTCCCAACATGCATTAAAATAGGCCCCTTGGGGCTTCCCTGGTAGTGCAGTGGTTGAGAGTCCGCCTGCCGATGCAGGGGACACAGGTTCGTGCCCCGGTCCGGGAGGATCCCACATGCCGTGGAGCGGCTGGGCCCGTGAGCCATGGCTGCTGAGCCTGCGTGTCCGGTGCCTGTGCTCTGCATTGGGAGGGGCCCCAGCGGTGAGGGGCCCGCGTACCGCAAAAAAAAAAAAAAAAAATAGGGCCCTTGGACTGAGGGGACACCTACAGATGAGTTTTTTACAAAAGCACCTGACACCCAGCCAGCACTCCCCACAATCCACCAAGGTCATGGCCAAATGTTTCGGCACCTCCCATCAGGCAGAGAAAACCATCTGAGCTGCCCGTGGCTGTACACTCAGTCTATGCCCGACGGCAGCTCTCACTCACCTCGCCGGCATCCTCTGCTTTATCAAAGTTCTCGACAGTTACACTTCCAGAATTCTGTACGTTAGAGAATGTGCCCTTTAAAACGTTTTTTGGCTGCCCGCCCCCCTTTATATTATAGTATATCTATTCTTCTAGGAAACCTACATATATATGAAAATAAGACAAAGAAGAAAAAACGATCATTTTTTAATATAAAAGTGAGCTGATGATACAGTATCTACTTGTGCCATTCTTCTTCTCTAGAATAGGAATCTTAGTGGAGGCAATAGATGGGCATCTGAGTGGTTTCCTGAGACAGGTGTCATTAGGTTCTCAAGGGGTCAAATTTAACAGGCTTAGCCCTTAAGAGGCTCAGAAGCCCTGCTCTGGAATAACACTCCTCTGATATCTTCTTGGTCGTCTGTTTGTTGCCTTAAGAAATGCAGTGGCAAAGAGCTACAGAATCCTAGCATGAGTAGCAGGACAGAAAACCAGATGCTCCAGGAAGAAGAAACTTACACGTACTCTGAAAGCTGCCGACCAGCCCACTGGTTCCCCCGGACGGATGTGCTGGATTATCTCTTTGCAGAAGGTTGTATTTAAGTGAAAAAGCAACATGTATACACCCACAGTGCTTCCAACCAGGGGCCCTACAGTTACACTTACTGCCTGTCAATGACCCCAATGCTGGTTTCCCAAGGTCAAGGATGTCTGAAGACAGTATGCCCAGATTTCATCCCGTTAGGGATCTAGATAAGGCTCAGACAGACCTGGTGTGTTTTTGTTTTCCAAGAGAGGATGTGAACAAGCTGGAAGTCCAAGAGGACAGCATTAATCCAAGTCAATACAGTGGCGGTGTCTTACCCAGTGGCCCTTCTCCTGCCGACTCCAAGACCTGAGCGGCTTCCTGAGACACAACAGTGATGGCTCCTACCACTGGCTCCTGGTGGACGTCGCCGTTGGGAGTGCCGTCGGGGATGATGACTAAGCCATGTTTCTGCAGAGAGGAAGAAACCCACCATCACAAAAAACGGCCCCCAGGTAAGGAGAACATGGCAGTGAGGCGACTGACCCTGCGACAACACATGTCTGCCACGGGAACACCTGGTCAGCACTAGCTACCCGGAATCTAGCTCTGCAGAGACAGGACTCACACCTACCAAATCTGGGCTGAGGAGTGAACACTGTGCTTTGTATTCAGGCTGGAAAGAGGACAGGACGGAAGGAAGGAGGAACAAAGCAGTGAGGGCCTGGCGCGCGGGGGAGCTCACGTACCTCTCCCGTCTCCACTGCTGCCTTCAGCTCGGCCAGCTCCTCTCTGAGCGAGTCCCGCTCACTCCTAAGGCAGCCAATGTATTCTTTCTGTTTCTCTAGGGCCTGGTTTAGACAGGGTAGCAAGAGAAAGAACGGCACAGAAAAAGAGCAAGTGAAAGGTAGCAGAGAAGTACCTAATTCAAATTCAAAAAAGATAAAGGCATAGGAGACAAGGAAGCATTAAAAGCTTTGGAAACAAGCAGTTAGATATGGGAGGAAATACACAGTTATACGGGTATCTATCTCCAGAAGAAAGTTTTAATAGTAAGTGGTTAATCGTGCATAAATTTGGCAAAACATGCTTATCACATCAGGCAAGAAAACAAATCTTTCTTTTTCAGTCATTTAGTAATACTAAAGTCTTCCTTACAAACCTCCTAAGTACGTTTGTTTGGTAGACCAAAAAACCCACGTTTCATGTTAAACTAAAGTATATTCAAGAATATACTTGATTTTTTAAAAAATAAAAGTTAGTTCTGGAGGAAAACAACCAGTATATATACAAGGTATTTTAATTAAATACTGGCCGTAGTAATAGTTCTCCAGGAGTACGGTAAAATATTCCTCAGATACCGCTTAATTAAAAATAGCTAATCTCAGGCTTCCCTGGTGGCGCAGTGGTTGAGAGTCTGCCTGCCAATGCAGGGGACACGGGTTCGTGCCCCGGTCCGGGAAGATCCCACATGCCGTGGAGCGGCTAGGCCCGTGAGCCATGGCCGCTGAGCCTGCGCTCCGCAACGGGAGAGGCCACAACAGTGAGAGGCCCGCGTTCC